ATTAAAGAAAAAGCACTGAAAACATACAATTACACATAAAAACACATTGGAGCGCATAAAGGAGTTTAAAATAATAAAAGAGGTTACCTCTCTTGAAGTGGTGATTAGATAGGGTGAAATTTGCCCTACTTATGCTCCAAAATGAACAAAATGATCAAGACGCCAATTTAATTATAAAGAAATAGAAATAATCATGAAATCTACCAATTAAAGCACTTAAATGAAGCATAATTAACAATTAAAGAAGAAAAGTAACTTATATTTAAGAATCAAAACTGCTTGGGACCTAATTGCAAAAATTAAGAAAGATTTGGGGGTCAATTTGTAATTATTAAAATATTTAGGGTCAAATTGAAAGAAAAATAAAGTTCAGGAACCTATTTACAATTAAATGAGGGACCTAATTGAAAGAAATTAAACATTTTAGGGCCGAAATACAAAATACTCAAAATTGTAGGGACTAATCTGCAAATTCATCTCTGGTCTTCCTAACCTAACAGGCCACTTGGGCCATTTTTTTTTCTTTGGGCCAAAAGCCATCAAGCCCGAAGAAAAGCCTCAAGAATAAGGGTGGGCTGACCCATCATTTTTGCTAAGCAAAGTCCATCAAAAGGCCAGGCTTTGACCTCCAAGTCCACACAAAAACCCCATCAAAACAAAAGCACAACCCTCTTTTAAAACCCAAACAAATCAATCTTAATCCAATTTTACTAAAACCCATCAAGGCAACAAATCAATTAAAAATTATTAAACCCTAATTATGCCTTAAAACCAGAAATAGTTCACCCAAAAACCTACTTAAAACATGAAAAAGATTATTAAAACTTAAAAGAGCGAAATAAGCTAGATTTTTCCAAGTTTTGGGCCATGGTGAAATTAAACAAAAGTTGGGGGTCAAAAATGTAAATTTTAAAAACTTGCATGCAGCTTCTTTTTTTTTTTCTCACAAATGATCAAGAACACACGCACACAGTTAGATTAAACACTCAGAGAGTCATCAAAGAACGGGCCAAACGGACAATCTGAGGTGGGACCCACAAAGCAACCAGATTTCACAAAGCAACCACAAATCTAAGGTGGGACCCACAACCTTGCATGCAGCTTCTTCAAAGAGCCTTCCTACAACTTCCTGGGTTTCACTAGCTACTCTTATTCAAGCACAAGAAAATCAGCCGCGAACTTAAACGAAGCCCATGGATTCATCAACTAACATAGGAACTTCAACCCAACAAGAAAACAATGTAACAACGTGAAATTAATGGTTCAAGACCCCCCCTCTTCCTTTCCTTCTCGGGTTTGCAAGCAGAAAGAGAAACAGACAACTTTCATTTGTAGATTCCAAACAAAGCCCCGAAAACATGACTCAGATCATGAGCTGCAAAACTTGCAGAGATAAAAAAATCACTGATGGCCTTTACGTTAACTTGACAGCTTTGTCATCTTTTAATAAGATGCATCAGACCCAACAATACGCATAAGGCTAGTGCAAAAACTCATGAAGCAATAATCTGACAAGGTTCCTGTTTAATGAGTTTAATTCTTTTTGCATGTGGATTGCAGCAAGCAAGGGAAAGATTAAGAGTTACCTTTGATGTTTGAAGATACCCAAATAAACGTAGGAAATCTGAGGAGAGTGTGATTCAAAGCTGAAATCTGGAAGCCAGGACCTTTGTTGCAGAAATTTCAGCAGTGACAAGGTCAAGAGTTTGTACTACAATTCGAAAGGACTGGGATGTTTTTTCATAATGTTTTCAAAACAAAATTTGTTCTGTCACATCTGGTGATAGTGCAGAAAAAAACAAATCACTCAAAAAGGTTCAAAAACAAGTCGAAAATTGATTAGGAAAGAGGCTAGTCAGCCAGCCTGGTCGGAGATTTTTCAGCAAAATTTTTCTTTTTCTTCCCTCTTTTCTCTCTCGTTTTCTCTGTTTCTTTCTTTCTTTCTGCCGCCACCCCTTTTTCAATACCTTCCTCATTCTCCTCCCTTAGCCCCCTATTTGTATCAAATGGAGCCACCAAAACCTTGCTTTGAAGGGTGAAAATGAACCCTCATTTTGCTGCCTTTTTATAGCCATTTGATGGCTCTTGTTCCAGGACATTCCGGATAAATTTCACAAGGTGAGGTGGCATCTTGTACCAGCAAAACTTGGAAAAAAAAGAAAGGAAAAATCGAACCAGAATTTGCTCCCAAAGATGCCAGTTGCATCTTGTACTGTTTACGGGTACAAGACGAAGAAGAAGAGTTGTGCGCACTTGGCATACACGCACGCGTGGGTTGCAGATCTTTTTTTTTTTTTAACAAAAAACTGATTTTGATGATTTTTCTTTACTTTTCTTTTCTTGCTTTCTAATTTTCTTTTCTACCTGATTTTCTAAAAGCAAACGAAAGTGATTTTTGATTTTTGATTGATTGATTTTTTCTAATTGATTTTTTTCTTTTCTTTTCCCAATTTTTCTAAAAAGAGTGATTTTTTATCAAGAAATAGAAAATGAAACAAAATAAATAAAATTTAACTAAAACGAACAAAAATAGGAACAAAAATAGGAACAAAATGAAGAAAATAAAATGATAAAATTTTGGTGTCTACAATTACATGTTACTTTTATTTGTTTATTTTGTGCATAGGAATAAGATAAGTTGTATTTGGAAGTTCTTATTTATTTATCTTGTGTATAGAAATAAGGTGAATTTTATTTAAAAATTTTTATGTATTTATTTTATGTATAGAAATAAGGTGGGTTGCATTTGGGAGATTTTGGATTTTTTTTTTTTAAAATTTTATGAGTTCTAAAGGTTTTAATAGGTATATCAGCTAAAAATTTGATTTAAAAAATTATTTTCCACGTCAAGCAACCTCAAACTTGTTAATTTAGATGATTTTTGTTAATTTTTCACATTAGTTCAAACCATGAGATATTGGATTGTATGATTTGAAACCATAATGGACTTTTCTATAGATTTGTTTAATCATAAGGGGCTTTTCTGTATTATAACTCTAAGGTATAATAGAGATCAATTGAAAATTTATTTGTTTCCAATACAAACACTCGCAAAAGAAGCACATGTATTTCAAACTTGTCAATTCAGACAATTTTTGTCACTTTTTAAATTAGTTCAAACCACGAGGTACCGGAATATATGTTTAGAAACTATAGGGAGTTTTTCTGTAAGTTCTCTTAATCTCAAGGGACTTTTCGATATTTTACCCTTTTAAGTTTTAAATCTTTGAGAATTGGATGAATCTGCGCCATTAGGTTGTGGACTTGCTTAAGTGATTTATTTTGAAATTTTACCTATGTTAAGTAAAAAAGAAAAATCATTTGGAGCTAACGTTTAGTTTTTTTTTTTTTTTTTTTTGTAATTTAGATATCTCTTGCAAAAGTTTAAAGTATACAGGATCATCTTAGTTTGGAACTTTTCCGACACCCAATTACTCATTGCCATCTAAACTTCCTTTAAGTGTTCCATTCTTACACTACAACACCATCAACTGCACAAAAGTGAAAAAAAAAAAGAACTAATGAGATAGGGAGCACTTCTTAAAGCGCCTAATTTTTTTTCCGGCAATCAGAACAGCACAATTTCCTAGCTTTTCCTTACCCAAAAAAAGAAAGAGTGAATGAAGGAAAGAAAAAACCTAGACAAAGAACAACAAACAATTTGTTGATCTACCACTCTCTCTGACACACTTACTAAGGCAATGACTTGTATAATTTTGGGTTGATAATTTTGTATATTTTTAATCTCAATTTACATACTCTGAATTTCATCTATGCATTTGGGATTTGTAAGAATTTTATATACTTTTAAAATGTCAAGATTTCTTGGTTATTTGTGATTAATTCACTGATATAATTACTCGTTTGAAAAAGTTCATATTTTAAATGTGAATTGTGTAAATGCACCAACTATCCTTTTCCATTTTTCCTTAATCATTGGTAGTTGGGATAGCATCACATTTATACAATCATAAGAATGGTGTTTTTTTGCTTAAAGAAAAAGGAAAAAGTTGCCTAAATTACATTTAAAAACAATAGTAAAGGATAAGTCCAATAAAGGAGTATTTTCTTTTGAACAAATAAAGAAAATGAAAAAAATTAAATGGCAAAAATTGTGTAAATTACTTTAAACAAAAAAAAAAAAAAGGAATAGCAAATGTGAAGATTGTGTGAGTGTAGGCAGATTGTTATTACAATGGAATACTTAAGGAAGTTTAGGTGATAATTAGTTACTGGGTGCCTAAAAAACTCTAAATCAGGATCATCCTGATGTACTTTAAACTCCTTTAGTAATTTGGTTATTAGAAAGTAAATTTGCTCAAGGAGTAATTATAAAGCCTTTTCTATTTTTTTTTTATAAGTGGGGGGTCTTAGGCAGAGCAGATCCTCTGTCCAATATTTTGTGTCCAATTTCCTGTCCAATGTGAAACTACGTAGTTTTACTTATTATATCTGCTGATATGGCAACTAAAAATAGGTGGTTGTTTGGCTGCCTTGTACTTCTTTTTCTTTTTTCTTTTTTGGGTTTCCTTTGTTTACACAACTTTGTTACAATTCTCATCTTTTTTAAATATTCTTTTGTATTTGAAATCCTTAATACTTTGTTTTAAAAAGATGAGAATTGTAACAAAGTTGTGTAAACAAAGGAAACCCAAAAAAGAAGAAAGAAAAAGAAGTACAAGGCAGCCAAACAACCACCTATTTTTAGTTGCCATATCAGCAGATATAATAAGTAAAACTACGTAGTTTCACATTGGACAGGAAATTGGACACAAAATATTGGACAGAGGATCTGCTCTGGGTCTTAGGACATAAATTTGCTCAAGGAGTAATTATAAAGTCTTTTCTTTTTTTTTTTTTAGGTGAGTGGGAGGTTTTGAATTTGAAACCTTTCACTTACACTTTCACCTCTTATAAAGTTTTTTCTATTTAGGTAATTGGATTTAGAATTCAGCCCTGAATTTTGAAACTTTCAAGGTCGGGGCATGACTATTTAACAGTTCAAGATGAGTTAATATCATTGAAAGATTATAATCATTAATCAAATGACAAGATCTAATCAATTTAATTTTAATTCTTTTGTATAACAAATATTAGCAGTTATAAACTATGTTCTGAATAGTTTTAATTTTAAAGGATATGTTTAAACTTACAGTTTTAATTTTCAGAATTGTAGCATGTCCTATTGCACAAGTTCATGGTAGAGTTCAAGGTCGCTCTGCCTCTTATTCCTAGTTTTCCAGCCGCAATTATTTAATGTATTGCTCTACTTCGAAGTGCCTTTAAGTCTAGTAATGACGAAAACCAAAAGTCTTCCGTCTCTTATTAATTTGATTGCCAAACTCTAACCTATATTATCCTTGGATTTGGTAAATATGGTCCAAGCTAAAAAGGTAATCAATTAATTAACCAAAGCATTGTTACACTGTTTTTCTCTATAAAACCCTTTCCCCTGATAGAAAAAGCTACAGAGGCACGAAAAATTGCTCAAAAATTGTTTTTCATAGTTGCGGCTGGGTACCTGTATTCTGTACATTGGTTTAGGATCAATAAGATGAGCTCTAACCCTAGAGTTGCTTCCTCCAGTAAAAGGTTAGTATTTTAGCTTAATTTGACTGTATAGAAATGTTAAAGAACATTTAGATTGATAAATAAAGGTTTGAGAATGACAAAATGAAACTAATTTCTGCAACAATGACTCTTGCGGGTATAAAAGGATTTCTAAAATCTTTTTTGAAATTAAATAGGTTTGACAAGAACTTTTCATTGTAATACGGAGGACATCAAATGAACTAGGCAAGAAAATGATTTCATTTTAAAAAGCGTAAAGATAGATAATTGTTGTGTCAATTTTATCTGTTTATGTTTCAGTATTTTCTCATCTATGTTGGCTAGTTTTGGTTATGAAGCTAAAAAAAATCACCTGAAGCTGTTCATAATTTCATATTACCTCTGCATCTAAATTCCATTTTGGCACTTCTTTCAGGCTAGATGGTAAGGTGGCAATTATCACCGGAGGTGCCAGCGGTATAGGAGCAGCTGCGGCTCGGCTCTTTCATAGCAATGGTGCTAAAGTTGTAGTAGCCGATATCCAAGACAATCTAGGCCAAGCAATTGCCAATGAGCTTGGCAAAAATGCATGCTACATTCACTGTGATGTATCACAAGAGGACCAAATTATTGATCTTATCGATACCACCATAGCCAAATACGGCCAACTTGACATCATGTACAACAATGCTGGAATCACTGAAGGGTCCAAAATTGCTATTCTGGAAACGTCAAAGTCAGAGTTGGACCGGGTTATTGGTGTAAATTTGGTGGGCTCATTTTTAGGAGCCAAGCATGCTGCAAGAGTCATGATACCCCGGCGCAGGGGATGCGTATTGTTCACAGCCAGCGCCTCCGTCAACATAGCTGGTCTTGGACCTCATGCCTATGCAGTCACTAAGCATGCAATTGCAGGTCTAGCTAAGAATTTGTCAGCTGAGCTTGGTCAACATGGTATACGAGTCAACTGTGTCTCCCCTTATGCCGTAATGACTGGCATAGCAGGAGGGAATTATTCTGAAGAGTATATTGGGCAAATGCAGATGTTTGTAAATGCAGTGGCTAATCTTAAAGGGAAGACTTTGACAGCAGATGATGTTGCTCAAGCTGCACTGTACTTGGCAAGCGATGAAGCTGGTTATGTAAGTGGACTGAATCTTGTAGTTGACGGAGGTTTCAGCGTTGTTAATCCTTCCATGATGACTGCTGCGGCTCAGGCCAAACTACATCAGAAATGAAGCAAGCTGGTTGTTAAACTAGTTGTCGTGGACACATGCTATTGCTTCTTTTTTTTTGTTTCGGTTCAGAGATTTACATCTTGCTTCAAGTCATGCAGCTCATTCCCACATGTGCCAATTTACAAGCTTTTATTAGAAGAAGACTTAAAACTAGGACACCTCTTTCCTTGTGGATTTTCAAAATCTTCCACCTAATAAATTACTTCAGCTTTATGTTGAGCAAGTTTAGTTTTTAAATACTTTGATTGGGTTAGGGTAACAAGTATTATAAATGAATATATGTCCTCCAACAGTCCCAAACTATTTGTGGATAATAGTTGACAAGACATATATCACTTTAATACATGGTGCAACGGGTAATGTAACGCCAAAAGTATTGTAAACAATGATCCAAATGCACTCCTAACCTTTTCTTGCATTTTAGACATCCGATCGAGTTGCATATAATTTATCTGTGGACCATAACTTGTTAAATGAATGAATGCAGTAAGGCTTCAAATCTCGAGTGTTTGACTATGTTCAAGACCAACCCTTGAATAATTCCAATAATCTTAAATTGATTTAACTCATTTCAAGAAAGTACGGAAGATCAGGAAATACTTGAATTTTTATTTGAAAAAAAAAAAATCTGATCACGTCACAAGTTTTCTTTTGCCTTCCATGAGAGAAACATTGGTAGTGCTATTGCCCCCATCGTTAAGGAGATTTCACCCAAAGTGTTTGGCATAATCACTGACTAGGTATGGAGCAGGCTCAGGTA